GAGCGCGCGCCTCCCGCCCGGGACTCCGCTGGCTGCCGCGCCCAAATAGGGACCGGGTCCCCCCAGGCAGTCCCGAGAAGAGCGGAGGGAACAGGTCGGAGCGAGCCAGCGAGCCTAGGAGCCGGCGCCCGACGTCCCCGGCGAGTTCCTCGCGGCTCCCGGTGCTTCCAGCCCTTCTCCTCCCTCTCCTCCTCCTCCTCCTAGCGTGTGAGCCGCTTGTTCTTAAAGGGCCAGTGCGCTCCCAGCTCGCGGACCTAGGCAGAAGCCGGCGGTGCTGCCGTAACGCGAGGCTTGCTACAGCAGGTGCCTGCTGTCTAGCCCCCAGTAGGTGGGTGGCCATTTTACCCTCCGTGGAGGGCTGCATGCCTACTCCAGTCTTCCTCGCGTCACTCGCATCCCTGCTTCTGGGGAGCTGGGGTGACCCCCAACTCGATGCCCCGCAGAGGGAGGGCGCAAAAGAAGGCGTGGTCTCCTGGCCCGCGAAGAAAGAAAAAAATATCTTTTTCGTGCTGTGGGGAATGAGGCTGAGGTGGGCAAGGAGGAGCCGAAGTACTGTTTTGAGCTATTAAAAACAAAGCAAAGCAAACAAAACAGAACCTCTGAAAGTTTGTTGGCCCAGAGGTCTGGCTTCAAAAGCCCCAGCATAGGGCCAGGGATTTAGCTCAGTGGCGCTGCACTTGCCTTGCAAGTGCAAGGTCCTGAGTTCGATCCCTGGTTCAGGAAAACAAAAACAAAAACATACAAGCCCCAGTGTGTGGCCTTTCCGTGGCAAAGTGAGAGGCTGGGCACTTGGAGTGGACGGGGTGACTGATGGAATGTAGGGTCAGGAGTGGCACAATTTCTGCTCTGCATTCCCATTTACCTGCTGTCTGGATGTTGAACATAATTTTTTGAGGCTCCGTGTCTTTATCTGGAACATGGGGCAAATTGTTGGAAATGTGGTCCTGGTCTGCACACATTGTTTCTAAACAGAAGTCATTCTTCCCTTGGCCACCTTTTTGGGGGGTGGGGGTACCAGGGATTAAACTTTGGACCTTATGCTTGCGAGGCAGGTGGCAGCACCACTGAGCTAAATCCTTGGCCTGCTTGGCCACTATTACATGCATGTGAAGTGGGACTGTGTGGCCCTGACAGAGCTAGGATGGTGGGCAACTCTTCCTGTGGAGCTTGATTTAATTCTATTCCGGGAACCCTAAGACCTGGGCCTTGTGGGTGCTGGAAGTCAGAGCTAGGGTGCCTGGGTCAAAGGTCGCTGAGACTGTGCCCAGAGGGCAACCCTGGAGTTGCAATCTTTCACAATGTTTATTACCAGCAATTAAAAAAAAATGTGTTTATGGGGCTACCAAGTAAGAAAGGAGCCCAGGAATATGAGCAGCATTTTTAAGAGGTCTGTGATTTTTAAGAGTCTGGTGATTGCCCTCTCTTTTGGAGGTCCCTTATGGGGTCACTCCTATCTTAAGGAAATGGCTTCCTTTATGACAGGTTCCCAATGATTGGTTCTGACTTCTGTGAGTTGAGCCAAGGTGAGTTTATATATACAGACATCACAAGGCGACTACATTTCTAGTTTAGCCAGCACCCAAGATGTGAAGGAACCAGCATGGGACTGAGATGTGTAAACTTCAGCTCTTCCTTAACTAGCTTTGAACATTATCCACATTTCACCAGTATCACTTTCTCTGTACCCTGACACCCTCCACACGCACACTTTCTTTTCTTTGGAGTCTTGAATCAAAGTCTACACATGACATTTCATAGCACAGTTTTATGTTGAAGGGCTGATGTGGTACGAGGGGTTGTACAAAAAGCCCAGAATTAGACATCAGGTCACTGGGCTCCTGCCCACACCCTAATTTCCTGGATGATTTCTGAGGGTTTGTTTCCTCATTTGTAAAAGGAGGGTTCTGACCAAGCTAGTAGACGAGGTCTCTTGTTCAGTTGCTATGGGCTACAACTAGGCCCAGGACTCCTCTCCCTCAGCTACCTGGTTTCTGCCATCAAAGGGGAGGCTGCAACCAAGAATAAACCCTCTAGCTTCACTTGCTTTTTTTTTTTTTTTTGTTACTCGCTTTTATCACCAATTTTAGCGATCACAGAGCTAAGCGGTATATGCCCATTAGGTTTGCTATAGGTAACACCTCTGAGGTATGGGTCAAGGCTATAACGGCTAAGTTGTTTTTCAGTGATGTGAAGGTAGCACAAACCATGCTTCCAGTGGGCCTGTGCAGGTGTCCATTGAGTGGCATTCCGACATCAGAGGGCCAAATACTCCGCCCTGAGAGCATGTGTCCTAGGCAGAGCCATGAAATGACTGCAGACCACTGAGGACTTCACTTTTCCCTGCCTCGTCACCTTTCCCCATGCCTCAGATCATCCTGCTTCTCTGCTCTGTACACCTGAAACCCTGTCCTTGGGGAAGCAGATTTGAGACTTGGGACCCCTGCCTCCTCACATTTGACTGCCTCGTGGATAAACTAACCTTCTTGTAAACTCAGTGTTTCAGTGGTTGGCACACTGCAAGGCAGGCAAACCAGGCCTGGCTGGGTAACCAGGCAGTCCTGGCGACTCCTGGCGCCAAGACAAAGAATAAACAAACAAGTGGAGATAATTGCCCTCGCCTTTGGAAACAAAGCTGGGGTGGTCTGTGGAGGTGATAGAGAGGGCTGTGGAGGTGACTGGCCAGGTGGGCATAGGCCAGTAAGGCTGTGACATGATCATTTCCCTGATCTTTGGGGAACGGCTGAGGACACCGAGGCCAGATGTGTTGGGTTTGTATTCTCCCTGGTGTGATAAAACTCCCACCAAGAGGTTTCTTGTGTGCCACCCCTTCGGGGTGGACCCCAGCGTGCTGCAGTCTTGCCTTCTGTCTCAGAGCTGTCTCCTGGTTCGCAGGAGCACATCTCCTCTTATGGAAGAGCTGCAGCTGCTTCTGCACTGTCAGCGGGAGCACTGGCTAAACACGCACTGTTCTGAGGCTCGCTCGATGTCTGGGTGCTGGCCAAGCCCCTACTGCCCAACCCCCACCTCAGCGAAGCTCCTGCTTCTTTCCTCCATTGCCACCTCCACTCTCCACTGAGGAGCCACTTATTGATCTTGGCCGATTCTCAAAGTGACTGCATTCTAATCCCATCCACAGGCAGAGAGAATCCCAAACTGCATCCTCCCTCAGGGGAGCACCAGTTCATTTTGGGAGGGGCAAAGTTGGGGGTGGGGAATCCCCTCTGAGAACCTGGCCTGCACTCCCCATGGTGAGTACCCAGAAGGCCAGACCTCCTCTCATTTATCCAGGTACACAATTCAGGGCCTGGCACCACGCAGGTGTCAGTAATGTAGGCTGCACAGCCAGTTACCATGTTGCGTGCAAGCTAGAAAATGCCTGGCTTTCTCTTCCTCTTCAGTGACCTCAAATGCCAAAAAAGCAAGCAACTAGTCAGTTGGAGTCAGCAAATCAGTGTGGCAGTGTTGGGGGAACAAGGCACGAGTGTGATTTCTTGGGTCAGGAAAAGGCACAGTTGCCAGGGCACAGCCAGATGACAGCCCCCCTCTGCATGCCTTCTCTCCAGCCTGAGAAGAGGCGGGCCAAGGGCTGCTGCACCTAGCTGTGCCAGAGCAGGAGGGAGGTTAGGGCTGAGTCAGGCCATTACCTTGATTTCTCATCCCCCCAGGCAATTCACTTAACCTGTTTCTCCATAAAACAGTAATCATTTCTGCCCTGTTTATTTTTCAGGGTTTTGCCGGGAAGAGCAGATGAGAAGGTCTCAGAAAGGACTGAGTGTTGTAACAGCGTAAGTCTAAATGTCTGCGCTTATACCCGTGAGTAATGGGGGTGCGACCCCTGTGACATGCCCAGCCCTGTGCAGACTGAGTGCAGACATGGCAGATGGGGTAAACCTCCCCCTCTACTGAGGCACTGCCAGTGCCTCCCAAGCCCACCGCAGAGTCATAACAGAGACTTCAGAGAACGCCCCCCAACACGCGCACACACTGTGAAGCACAGCTGAAGAGGCTGTGGAAAACCCATCTCTCACCTCAGTAAATAGAAGCAATGTAAAACAAGGTCCCAAATAAAAAGCACAATTTTTATTTGATGAACATAATTTAAAATTGTAACAAAAATATTTCTTCACCTATCACCAGAAATCCAGATGACAACTGGACAGAGATGGTTCTTTACCTCGGTGAGGGCTTGTTGACAAAAATCCTCTGCATCCCTGGCTTCCCCTCCATGTCCCTTCAGAGTGCACAGGCTACAGGGAGCAGGAGGAGGCAGCAGAATTGACTGGCGAAGGCAGCCTTCTGCCTCTTTGGGAAAATTAATTGGGAAGCCAGAGGTCACAGAGGGTTGGAGGCCTGGCTTCCAGCCATGGCCAGGCCAAAATGAAACATCTGCTCAGGTCTCCCCAGGCACCTGGCTAGGGTGAGTAGGAGGAAGGAACGGAGAAAACTGACGCCAAACCACAAATTAGCAGCTGTATACCTTGGCCCTGAAATGGCCTCTGCTGCCATAGGAAGTGGGTGAGAGTCAAACTAAATAATAAAAGACACTTCAACCTGCTGAAACACCCTCTCTCCCTTCTTGACAGGGATGAGCCACAGTACAGTTTTAAAAAACCCTGATATGAGGCCAATGGCATCAAAACAGAATTCACTGCAGAGGGAAGTGGGAGGAGAGGGGCAGTTCTTAGAGGGACTACAAGGGGATTCTGCATGAGTGAGGTGAGCTTTCCACCCTCATTTTATTTTTCTTTTCGCTTATTAACTGCAAAGCAAGAATAAAGAAGTGCAGTCTGCCCTCTACTGGTGTCTTCTAAGAATTACCACAACACCATAGCATCCAACCTGTCCTGGGACCTCCCAAAGGGAGGCTGGGAGCACCCCCTGGGACTCCTCCATCTCTGTAGCCATCTGCCCCTGCAGAGAGGCCTGGGACAAGGAAGGCTTCTGGTGCTCACTTCAAAGGCATGGAGAAGAACTTGTTCCCAGACTTGCAGCGGACCTGCTTGGCCTGCACACGCAACAGCATCTCAGAGTCTTCAAACTCATCCACGATTTCCTTCAGCCAGCAGCCAGGAGAAGACAGTCATTAAAGGGAATCTAAGACTCAGAGGTACTATGAACAAAACCAGCCTAGCAGACTCCCTCAGAGGCTGGGCAATGCTGAGTGAGACACAAGCCGTGTAGGCTCCAGGCCCTGCATCAGTGAATTGGTCCACTCCCCTATGCAATCTTGGGAGGTTAGCCATATCCCCCAACTCACAGATGAGGACACGGATGCTCAGAACTCAGAGACCAGTGAAACCAGGATCATGACCCGGGTCTACCACAGCTAGAAATTGGAGTTTTCTGCCTTCTGCACGATTAGGCTAAGAATAAGCTCTACACGGGCTGCACATATTTTGTCTGGCTTGCAAAATGTTTTAAAAAAAACTTGCCAACATTTAAAGTTGGAAAATTGCAAATAAAAATCCAGATTTCTGGCTTCCCTTAAAATACAGAAGTGCTAGCAACACTGAGCCACGTTCCTGCGTGGCGTTATTTCCCACTGCCTCCCTGTCAAAGGAAGAGTACCGGCTCTGTGTCACTGCTACACGTATACTGTCTCCTCCAAGGGCACCGACTGGAAGACAAACGATTTCATCTACTTATCAAAACATGATAGGCTCTAAGGGCTGCGTGTTCCTTACACTGGTACACTCTGCCATTTCCAGCACCTTCCGGGCCCAAGCCACTGACGTGTAAGAGGCTAGCTCTGCAGGGGAAGTCTATGACCTAATTACAGATCGCTGTTCTAGGGCAGTGCACGCAAGTCCTTAGCAAGCTTGTGAAAATGCAATTCTCTTTTCTTTGGTCTGGGGTGGGGCCAAAGCACATATTGCTATCCAGCCTTCAGGGGCTGCTGATGCTTCTAGTCCAGGAGCCACACTTTCAGAGTGCTGTGAGGCTCCTGCCACATTACTGGTTTCTTGGGGAGTCAGATACGTATATCTAATCTTTCCCCTCCCCAATGTCCCTGACGTTATTTCTGGAGTTCAGCACCCTCTGTACACCTGCCCTGTGAATTCACCTGTAGTTCCTGCAGGCACTGCCCTTCCAGCTGAAGACAGGCGTCTCCCACGCACCAGGCCAGACTGATATGGAATGAAGGGTCCTGGAAAGGATAAACAGGAAGGCAGGCCATCACCTGGACGTCACAGCCAGCCCAGCCAGCACTGTACATCTGTGACAAGAGCTGTCAAGTTATCTCTACTGGATCCCTGGCCTTCCCTGTGAGAGATTAGACTCTCAGTGCTGATCCCAAGCACCCTGCACAGACAGACAAAATAGCCTGGTTGGTCCGTGCTACAAACTGCCACCAAATTCATATACTGAAGGCCTAGCCTGCCATGTGATGGTGTTTGGAAATGCAGCCTTTGGGAGGTTATTAGGGTGAGAAGAGGTCGTGAGGGTGGGGCTTAGGATAGGATGAGTGCCCTTAGAAGAAGACACTGGGAGCATGTGTAGTCCTCTTTCCTTCCCTCCCCCAGGTGAGGGCACAGTGAGACAGCCCTGATCAGAAACCAATCATGCTCTTGCCCTGATCGTTGACTTCTACCCTCTCTTATGTGAGAAAATGAATTTCTGTTGTTGAAGCTATCCAGACTATATTTTATTGTGGCGGCCTGAGCTAACTAAGGTAGGATGTTAGGCTTTCCTTTAAATTCAGATCTGGGGACATGGAAGAGAACATAGGCTCTGACTATTTTCTGATCTAGAACATCCTAGGAGATAATCATACTTTTCAAAGAAACAAAACCCAAAATATCTAAAATTTTGAAGAAACAATAATTATCTCCATTCAAAATCATACTTACATACTCAGCATAGTTTTAAAAAAAAATACATCAAATCGAACCTATAGCCCTTTATTAAAACCTTGATACTCAACCTGAGTCCAAGTACAGGGCTGGAGAGCACAGGGCAGGTACAATAAAGCACGTGAAGCTACTCTTCCTAGGGGTCAGTTTCATTAAAAATGTTGGGGACAGCCAGGCGTGGTCGCACATGCCTGTAATCCCAGCGTTTGAGAGGCTGAGGCAGGAGGATCGCTGTGAGTTCAAGACCAGCCTGGCTACATAGTGAGTTCCAGGTCAGTCTCAACTACATAGTGAGACCCTGTCTCAAAACAAAACTAAAACAACAACAACAACAATGTTGAGGATAACTACTACTTAGGAAATATAAAATATACATGGATACATTTTTTTTTTTGTTCCTTGAACTCAGGACCTTGTGCTTTCAAGGCAGGCATGGTGCCACTGAGCTAAATTTCTGGCCCTACATGGATATATTTTGAAGTAGAAGGCACAAGTCTTGAGCACATTTAAAGTATGGAGGGCCAGGGATTTAGCTCAGTGGTTCCACTGCCTGCCTTTCAAGCGCAAGGACCCAAGTTCGATCCCCAGTACCAAAAAAAAGAACAAAACAAAATAAAGTATGGAAACAGGTTTTAAAAACTGTGAGCTGAGCATGCTAGTGCATGCCTGTAATTCCAGCATTTGGAAGGCTGAGGTAGGAGGATTACTGCAAGTTTGAGGCCAGTCTGGGATACACAGTTCAAAGACAGCCTAAACTACATGGTGAGAAACTGTCTAAAAAAAAAAATTATGAACTTTGGATGGGCTGCGTCCAGCCACACATCTCAAACCCTCATTGCCCAGGGTTGTGTCCTCTGTGTACTGGCATTTGGGACACTCCACAAGGGAAAAGTTCTGGAGAACTCTTTGGTTTGTCTCTGTTGAAGACTTCTTGATGGATGGTTTTAATCCACTTATAAAAGGCCAATGGAGAGGCAGCAGCCCCCCTGAAGAAACAATAATTATCTCTACTCATTATCTCCAACCCAGTTCATTACCTGGTAGAAAGTGGTAAGGTCAAATTCCTCCAGGACTCTGTCCACTTCTGAAACCAAGTCCAAGAACTGGGCATACCCTGAGGTGACCTCAAGCCCAACAAAAGTCCTGGGGAAGAGGCAGAGATAGAGACAACATGGGTATGAGGTGTAGCCTCTGAGAGCATAAACCATCTAAGCAGGGGCTGAGGACAAACCAGACCAAAAGCCTAGAGGTCTGGGCCATGGCCTCACCCCATCTACCTGGTAGTTTCCATCCTCCCCCTCCCGACTTTAAACTTTCCCTTTCCAGTTCTAACCCAAGTGTCTCCTCCTTCCCTGCATCTAGTAACCCTTGCAGGGACACCTTCTTCCACCACTGCTAAGTCTCCAAGGCCATTAGCTCATGGTCTCTACTTTGGCTCCTGCTGCTACTGAATCCCATGCACCTTCAAGTTTCTGCTCTCTGGCATCTGCCTCCTTCCCACAAATTCCCAGCCAGGCTGTCCTTCATTATTAGAAGCCACATGTTCAGTCAGTCCCATCCCTTTCTCAGTAAAAAAAAAAAAAATTTCTGGTACCGAGGATTGAACTCAGAACCTCACACTTTCCTGGCAGGAGCAGCACCACAGAGCTCTATCCCAGGTCCAAAATTTTTAAAGAATGGTTTGTCTTCTTCCTTTGTTTCTGCTTTCTCACCTCTCATCTCTAACCCTTTAAATTTTGTTCAAATTGCCACATTTCCAAATCCAATAGTTCCTCCTCTCTTTACTCACTGGGAAGTATCTGACACAGTTGGCTCCTCCCTCCTTGAAACCTTTCAGCTTAACAAATTTGTGCAGCATAGAATGAAGGAAGCAGTGAGCTCTTTCAGAGGTATTGAGAGAAGAGGGTGGCTCAGTGAGAGAACTGGACAGGAAAGCTTGCTTTGAAGCCTTGATGATAGTAATTTCTTTTCATGTAACTGCTTTTTTTTTTGAGACAGTGTCTCACTATGTAGTTGAGGCTGACCTGGAACTCACCATGTAGCCCAGACTGGTCTCAAACTCACAGCGATCCTCCTGCCTCAGCCTCCTGAGTGCTGGGATTATAGGCGTGTGCCACCATGCCCGGCTCATGTAACTGCTTTAATACTTTTAATTTCTCAAAAATCTGCTATGCTCATTTGAATATCATGGCTGCCCTAAAATGGATGCATCGAGAGGCACGGGACAGTGGAAATGGAAGGTCACAGAGGAGAATATGCAAACCTAGTATTACAACGGAGGATGAAGCTGGGCAGGAGTAGGTTCTCTACCTTCATCGGCTTTTCCCCTATGCCAAGATGCTTTGCTCTACCTCTGTATTCCTCTTCCAATCCCCTCCCCATTCTTTTTGTTAACAAAATTTTATATTTGGGAATGGCTGCCTTGTAGCCACACTTAAAAAAATCACCTCTTCCCTCAATATTTGCACCTAATATCTTCTAGTAGAAACTTAGGGTCAGGAGAACTTACCTGGTCTTCTCCTGATTGGTATAAATCTTTACTCGGTTGGCAGTAAAGAGGAATCTGAAATTTAGAAGAAAGATCGTATTTCAGGAAAAATAAGAAAAAACAGTTCACGTTTTAAAAAATTATACTTTGACAGGGGTTGGGAGTATAGCTCAGTAGTAGAGTGCTTGCCTGGCATTCCTGAGGTCCTGGGTTCAATCCCCAGCAGCACAAAACAGCAGCAGCAACCAAAAACCCCACACAACCAAAAGGCAGCACTTTGAAAATATAATTCAATTATCTTTTACTTAATATTTTTACCTCATTATTTAAGTAGTAAACTGAACTTTAAAATATTAGAGCAGGGTAAGACCTTAAAACCACCCTTTCCAAGTAACACATAGCATCACAAAAATTTACAAAGAGCAATTCATTCTACAAGACAACTTGACATCATTTCAACTTTACTGATGAGAAAGTCTTAGTGATCAGGTTGGTGATAACAGATCATCTGAGGGTCAATTCATTCCTTGCAGGTTGAAAAAGAAAAGGACAAATTACTTAATCTAAGAAATAATAAGAATATTTTTCATGTGCCAAGGGCTGAACTAAGGGCTTGGTGCATGTCACCCCGTGGAATTGTCACACAACACTGTGTGTGTGGGGGAAACAGCATAATTATACCTATTTTCCAGACAGGGAAACTGAAGCTTGGTGAGATTGAATTTGGTGAGGCAGGATTCAAACCTCAGTTCACCTGATCACAAAGCCCTCGTTCTCACCTGTGATGCTTTACTGACGTGCTTCTATGTTGGGAGTGAAAACCAGGCAGAAGCACCTGGCACTCACCACTCAGATGAGCCACAAAGGGAGCAGTAAGAACCAGCAGGTGAGTGCTGGCTGTATTCACTCGGCACTGGAGATCTCAGAGGGCAGACTGCCTTCTTGCCCCACATGACCAACCGGCAAGTCTCATCACAGGCAAAGATGGTTTCCCAGGCTTGGGCCAGAGGCCTCACGCAGCTGAGGGAAGGCCATACAGAGCATGCTGCAGAGAGCCTCACAGCCAACTTGCCCAGGGATGTGAAGTCAGCCACCTACTTTCCCCTTCCTCATTCAGCTGTCCACCTCCTGATGCATCCCTTTCTGGGAAAAACAGAGATAAGGGAACCACAGGGAAATTGGTTCCACATAGATTTTTAAAGAGCTCTGCAAGGAGGTCTGACAAGTATTCGGCAGTGGACACCACTCTTCCCCACCCCTACTCCAGGGATGGGCACCTGACCTAGGGCTGGCCCATAGGAGCAGAGCAGTCCCTCAGTTGCAGTAATAGAATCAGGGGTGCAATGGCTACTCTTGGTCATTTTAGGCTCAAAATGACAGTCTAACTCTGAGACACCACAGCTGGTCTGGTTTCACTCTGGACACAGGGCTGGAAACTGAGGACAGCATCAGATGCATCTTGTTAGAGGGAGCCAACTCAGCAACCCAAGGACTGTTCTCTGGCCCCCAAGTGAGCAAAGGAACAGTCTCATACATGCCCCCCAGGGACCAATGCCTCTTGTAATCAATGGTCCTTGGGCAGAGCTGCCAGAGACCCCAGCCAGGGGCTTACCCAAGTAAAGAACCAGTATCAGCAGGGGGCCCAAAGCCTTAGTCATCCCACCAGGGCCGCCTTCACACTTCATTTGCTCTTCTGAAGCAGGCTGTCATTTTCACCAAAGGATGGTATGCCACTTTTGTCCAGCGGGGTAAGGGAAGCTTTCTCACAGAGTGGAGAAAGGGCTTTTAAAACTACTCACAAAAAGAGCATGGATGCCACGTCAGACAGTCAAAGTCATTCCATGACTTTGGTGAAGCTAATCCTCACCTTTCCAGGCGGCATCACCCTGCAGATGCTGGTGGCTTTGTCATTGTGGGAAGGAAGCCAACCCGGAGGGAGACAGAGCTGAGACAGAAAAGGTGCCATCTGACACTGGTCACCACCATCCACTCATGTACAAAGCCAGTGTGACTTCTGAACATTTCTGTCAAACTCCTTCATGTTAAAGCAATTTGGGTTGGGTTTCTGACACTTGTGATTAAGAGTCCTGATATATACATCTGGCTCGGTAAATTTGATAATGAAATCAAAAAAGGGAGAGATGGACTGTGTGGAGATGAGTTTTAGTTCTTTTTCTCTGGTCAACTGATTAGATTGGGGCAAATCCTTTCCTTCTCCATCCCTCAGAAAAGGATCAATTACAGAAAAGTTTTCCAATTGGGTGGAGCTGGGCTATGGAATTCCCAGGCCCAGGGCATTCTGAGCTGGTAGGGTGGGGCTTTGGCTAGAAGGCTTCCATTTCTGTCTCATGAATCTACATAGTGGACGTGTGTATAACACCTCATCTGAAGAAAGGCTACACAGATGAAAAACCAGAAACCACCACCTGGATGGCTTCTTAGGCACTTTCTAGTACCAGCCTTAAGAAGAATGAGAGAACTTTAAGAGAGCTCTTCTCTGGGCTTCCTGGTTCCTGCCCAATCACACCGCAAGCATCTATTTGATAGGGTAATTAAGCAGAGCACTTGGAAAAAAGTAGTAGGGTCATTCAGAGAGAAGTTATAGTCCTGCTGGAACTTGGACTCCAGAGGGAAGATGGGCATTGGAATGACTGAATATGAGGACAAGGGAAATCAGTTTCATGGCTGTAAAAAGACACAGGAAAAGAAAGTCCCTCTGAGCAATTCTAGGTGAGAAAGATCAGGGTTCTGGGGCCAGGGATTTAGCTCAGTGGTGCAGCTGCCTGCCTCACAAGTGAAAGGTGGTAAGTTCGATCCCTGGTACACACACACACACACACACACACACAAAAAGAAAAGAGCAGGGTTCTGATCTGGTCACGTGTGACAGGAAAGACATTTCTGTAGATGTATGGAATAGTTTATATATATATATAGGCTGGCACACCAAAGCAGAAGTGGGATCCAGTTCTGACCCTCTACAGGGAACCATGCTCAGGGTACACATGATCTCATTTCACCTACAAGCTCCTTCTGAGGCAGCCACCATCCTATTGACTATATGCAGATATGAATAATGAGAAATATTACTCCTGACACAGAGTTCCTAAACCCCTGTACTGTCCTAAGTGGTAGGGGTGCTAAGAGCATCTTCTGTTCCATTATTTAGTGTTTGACCCTTGTTCCTGACACAGAACTCCTAAATCCTTGGGAATTTTCTGGGTGATAGGAGTGGGTTTTGCTCTCAAGGGCAACTACTGGTGGGCTCCTGGATGAGGGAGGGTAATCAGAAAGAGCAAACCAGACTGGAAGCTTGGAACTTTCAGCTCCACAGCCCTGTCTTCCATGGAGGGGAAAAGAGCAGAGTTAATAATCAATCATGCCTACATACTCAAGCCTCCACAAAAACTCCAATGGACAGGGCCACGAAAGCTTCTGCTGGTGAACAAGAATGCATCTATATTCTGGGGAGTAGCATCCTGAAACTCTGAGACACAACTGCTTATGCTTGAGACCCTTCCAGACCTCACCCTATATATCTCTTCGTCTGGATGTTTATTTGTATCCTTCAAAAATCCTTCATAATAAATCAGTGATATAGGAAGTGAATTGTTTTCCTCAGTTCTGTGATCGTTTTAGCAAATGATCACACCTGAGAAGGGTCATTGCAACCCCTAATTTGTGGTGAAATCAGACTGACATTGTGAGAAACCTGGGGACTCAATACATGCAGTTGGCATCTGAAGTGGGAGGCAGTCTTGGGGACAGAGCCCCGTGAGGGCTCAGCAGTGTCAGAGCTGAATTCAGTTGTAGAGTACCCAAATGATGTCTGGAGAGGTACAGAACTGGTTGGTGTGACTCATAAATCTGGCCACAGAAGTGTTGGGAATACTGAGTCAATGTTTAAAGAAAGATAGCAGGATTTTCCTTAATAGCACATAAGGAACTGGTGTTACCAAGAGCTTATGTGGCATAACCAAGGTCACACAGGATGAGATGGACAGTAGGCAGCCCAGAGTTGGACCATGTTCTAGCCGTTGGTTCTGATCTGTTCAAAGGAATGATGTCAACCCCACATTTCTAGGCTCACAGTAGCTCAGGAGAGGAGCCTTAGAGGGGAGGGATCTGAGAGGCAGAGGGAAGCACTCACCTTTCAAAGGAGGCCATGCGGTCTTTCAGAGCTTGCACAAAAGGAAGGATCCAATGGTGGCGCAGAACCACACTCTGAGACAGGCTGAGGTGGAATGCCTCCATCCTCACCAGCCGCGGCACATAGGCCTGGGCATGGGGCAGCAGCACGTCAAGCAGATCTGGGAACTCCTCCCTGGCTTCATCTGGAGGGCAGAGTGGAGAGGGTGGGCCGTTATCTTAGCTATGGTGTCACGGCTGCCTGAAGAAGCTCAGAAGGCAGAAAAATCCTTATTACTCTCATTCTGACAGTAGCCTGTGTCTGTATTGCTTAATCATGTTGTAATGTGTATTTCTGCTAAGAAACATGTGCTCATTGTAAAGATTCAAGTACACAAGAAATGTACAGAGGACTTCTGGTTTCCATCTGGCATATAAGCAGCTTGGAAGTTGTCTCCCCATTCTAACAAGTAAAATGCTCAAGAAACTAAAAAAGCAGTAGCTCTTCCTAGATCTGTAAGAGAAGTGAGAGAGCCACAGGTGGATACAGAGACCTTGAAATTAGGTGACCAGAAACACGAGATGAAATCTGCCAGAACAAGGATCAGGCCTCTAATGGTCAATGGTAACAAACTGCTGGAGACTCAGGATGTAGAAATGAAAAGCTGGAAGCTCCAGGAGGACCCACAGAGCAACACCCACACTGTGAAGTTTATCTCCTGGAGCTCTACAACATTTTCATAGAATTTCAGAGAAAAATCCTCTTGTACTTCTGGCAGGAGACTGAAAAGAAACCATTAGAAATAGTGGAAACTGTTTTTCTTACCAAGGTTTACCTTAGGAAAAACTCTCACCACATCCTAATGTTCTGGGCTTTTATCAGAGCTTAACTCTGGGGGAAGGGAAACACCCAACTCCAGCTGCCTCTAGTCTTCCTGTCCCATCTGAGAAGGGCAAAATCCAAATAGCCTGTGAGAAGGTCACAGTGCAGAGGCTCTGGCTCACCAGAAGACGGGACCTGATCCCATGGGTACTGCATGCTCCCCCTCCTCATCTTACTGAAGGCCCACTTATCATGGTGCTTACACGGTACATCATGTCCAGCTATGAAGAAAACAATGTAAGACCTAACAGCCTGGCATGGTGGTGTACTTCTGTAATCCCAGCACTGAAGAGGCTGAGGCAGGAAGATCACCATGACTGCGAGGCCAGCCTGGGTTATACATTGAGTGGAAGGGCAGTATGAATTATACAGTGAGACCCTGTCTCAAAAAAATAAAAAACAAATGGGCCGGGGATTTAGCTCAGTGGTTCCATTGCCTGCCTCGCAAGTGTAAGGTCCTGAGTTCGATCCCTGACACCAAAAACATTTAAAAAAACCCAAATAAACAACCCCTCAACAAACAAGAACCCGTAGCAATAGACAAAAATATTCTTTATAGAGATACAGCAAACATCAGAACTCTGTAACAAATTTTAAAAACTAGAATCATAGTGTCTGATTTCAGGCCACAATGGAAGTGAACTAGAAATCAATGACAGAAAGATCAGCCAGAAAATGCCCAGATGCTTAGAAATTAAACATACTCTTCTAAGTACTACATGGGTTAGAAAGAAAATTTTGGAAGTTTATAAATACAGCACTTTTAACTAAGTGAAAAAAATAACTTGTCAAAACTTGTAAAATACAATAAAAGAAGTGCTTGGAACAATACATATAAAAAAACAAGCATTAAAGCATATTTTTAAAGATCTAAAGTCTGTCATCTAAGCCTCCACTTTAACAATCTAGAAAAAGATGAGGAAATTCAATTCGAAGTAAGCAAAAGAAAAGTAATAAAAACTAGAGCAAAAATCAATGAAATTTAAAATAGAAAACTTACAGAGAAAATCAACAAAACCAAAAGCTGGTAGTGATGGTATGAATATGGGTAGTCCATATTCTGATTGCTAAATCATTTATTAGTTATTAGAAGTGATGATATATTTCTTTAAACTTAAATTTTTCTGCTCTGTGAAAGACACTGTCAAGAGAATAAAAAGACAATCTAAGCATGGTGGCGCATACCTGTAATCCCAGCATTCTGAGAGGCTGTGGCAAAGGATTGCAAGTTCAAGCCCAATTTGGGCAATTTAGCAAGATCCTGTCTCAAAATCAAAAATGAAAAGGGCCTGGGGATGTAGATTGGTGTGAAGGACTTGGGTTCAATCCTCACTACCATAAACAACCACCAACAACAAAAAACCAAACCAAACAAAATAGAACTAAAAAAAAAAAAAAAGCTTTCCAAGAGAATTGGGAGAATATTTGCAAAAGATATATCTGATAAGGAGTACTAAGAAGTAGAGAATTTTAAAATTCAACAATAAGAAAACAACTCAATCAAGAAATAAGTCCAAAACCTTAATATACATCTCAGTGAAGAAGATATACAGATAGCAAAAAGCATACAAAAAGATGGTGCCAAGTCATATGTCATAGGGAAACACAGCTAAGTGACAATGGTGAGGTCCCACTTTACACCTATTAGAACACTGACAACACCAGTGTCGGGGAGGGTGTGAAATAATGGAGCTCTTATTTATGCTGGTGTGGTATAAAGTGGTACAGCCATGGTGGAAGGCAGCTCAGGGGTTTCTTTAAAAAGCTAAACACACTGTTACCATACAATCCAGCAATCATATTCCTAGTACCCAAAGTTGAAAACGTGTCCACACAATCATATTCCTAGTACCCAAAGTTGAAAACGTGTCCACACAAATGTAGGTAGCAGCTTTATTCATATTGCCAAAACTTGGAAGCAACTAAAACATCCTTTAGTAGGCTACAAACTATGGCACATTCCGACAATGGAATATTATTTAGGGTTAAAAAGAAAGGAGCTGGCAAGACATGACAAGACATGAAGGAACCTTAGATGCATACTATTCAATGAAAGAAGCCAAGATGAAAATGCTACATATTTACTGATCTCAGCTATGTGACATTCTGGGAAAAGCAAACCACAGAGATGGTTAAAAGGTCAGTGATTAACAGGGGTCAGAGGAGAGACATGACAAGCAGAGAACACAGGACTCTTAGGGCAGTGAAACTACTCTATATGGTATATAAGTAGATACAAGTCTTTATAAATTTGCCCAAACGCATAGAATGCACAACACCAAGAGTGAACCCTGCGGGTGCCAATGTAGGCATCAGCTGTGACAAATGTACCATTCTAGATGCTGGTAATGGGTGAGGCTACACAAAATACTAAGAGCCACTATTTATTCTGTGTACCGTGTTAACACTTGACATAGATTATCTGATTTAATCTTCCTAGGAGATAGGTATTACTATTATCCTCAGTTTAGAGGTGAGGAAACAGACTAATTAATAAAAGACACCCAGAATAGTGGGTAGTAGAGTAGGGTCTAACACTGAAGCCTGGGCATTTTTTGCCTAGCTGCTCATCAGGTGGGGTAGGATGTAAACCCAGCACACGAAGGGCCCATGGTTTCTTCCTCCCAAGAGGCACCTATTGGTCTCAGCCATTTGTCTTCCATATATGCATGACTCACATGGTACATAGACATGGGTGACCCAGTTGCCACGCTCGTGGGGAAAGGTACGCACTCGTCCCCCGTGCTTTGCACTGTCATCCTCAGGTCCGTCCTCTGTGCCCGGGAACATGTTCAATACACTGTCAGGTACTGGAAACCTCTCATTGGAAAGGGGGCTTTGGACACTACAATTAAAAAAAAAAAAAAAAAGCACATTTATCCTCTTAGCATTCTCTAACTCTGTACATATGGTAAAAGTTGTGACACTTAATACACAGTGACTCAGTGTGGATTTCCATGCAGGTAAGGGAAGTAGCTTTTAAAAAGCCACACAGCCACCCTGGGGTCACCCAACTTTGGAAAGAACTTAGCAGGGAACTTGGTCCCTATGGGAATCACCTTGGGCTGTCAGCAATGTGTTTCAAAGGTCACATTCCCTGGTTGGACAGATCTGAGGTGGAACAGCAGTTCTGTGATCTTGAACAGAGGATGTACCCTTGTATGCATACATCAGTTTCCTTATGTGTGAAGACTATTTCTACTTGATAGACCCATTGTATGGTCAAGTGAGGTACTACTTGTAAAGTACTTGGCAAGGATAGGTATTTAAGAATCCAAGGCCTTGGGGCCAGGGATTTAGCTCAGTGGTTCTGCTGCCTGCCTCGCAAGCTCAAGGTGCCGAGTTTGATCCCCCGTACCAAAAAAAAAAAAAAAAAAAATTAAAAATAAAAAAAAAATCTAACGCCTTATCACATAAGAGGATTTGATCTTTTTTTATTTGCTGGAGTCTCCAGTCTGGTTCAGATATAGGTGTTCAGTGAATATTAGATGAATTAAAAAACTCTCCATACAATTTAGCTATTATTACTGCAACTATGGTCCAGTGAGGAAAGAGAAGTAGGGTGGTACAGTGTCGCACTCCAGGGGATAAAGGGCGCGGATTTCGTAGTGCCCTGCCTCCTAACCATGCCCCAGCCGGGCAGGGGCACTCCGGGGTTCCGCCCAGAGGAGCCTTCCGGATCCTCCTTCGTCTGTAACCCTTTTCCTTCCCCGGAAGCCGTCCCGAACCCCCGTCCACCCTCAGACGCTCAGGTACTGCCCGGGTCTCAAGAGAAACCCCGTCTCCCCGAAAGACTTCTTCGCTCCTCACCGGCAGTGGCCCCCAGGCCCCGGGCCAGCCTGCCCGGTGACCGCCGCCTCGGCTTCATCCTCCGAGCCGCTGCTGCTGTAGCCCACCAGGGGCGCGGCGCTCATGGGGCCTCGGCCGCGACCACTGGTCAGGTCGGAAGGCAACTTCACCCTGTGCCCGGAGTTCCGCAGAGCGGAAGTGCACTCCGGGGGCGGGACCTGCGGTAGCACCGCCTCGAGGCGGGACCGACTAGACGGTAGCAGGGGCTGCGCTCTGTTCAACTGCTGGCTGCGAATGGAGCGCGAGCTGAGCCTCCAGGGCTCGGCAGCTGTGGTGTGCCCGTCTCACAGGTCCGGAGCCCTCTCCGCAAACCGGTCCAAAGTCCGAGCCCCGAGGTTCCTCCCCTCAGAGCCAAACTGAACGCTCAGGGTGCATCAGTCGTTGAGACCGGAAGGTCCCGGTCAGGTGCAGGAGTCGGGCCAGAGGCGGACCCCGGTGCTCGGCGGCGGAGGCGCGAGAAGTGCGCCCTCCTTCGGTTAGCCGAAGCGTGGCTGCTGGCAGCTCGAACACCGCCCTGCGCACC